AAACTATTGTCATCTTTTCAACAAAAATAGAACACTATTTGAATTGAATATAGATTCTTGGTAAGCTCACTAATTCATTCTAATTTTCATGAAATGCCTGTGCCACTCAAAGTTATCTCAAATATTTGGTAAATAAATTTAACAACAATAATAATTAGCATGCAAAGCCGATAATAACCTGGCAATGGTTAAGAGCAGGAAAGAAAGAGATAGAGGGACTAATTCTAGCTGCACAAGACCAATCCTTAAGAACAAATGCATTCAAAGCCAGAATTCAGAAGACAGCAAGTGCTGCCTGTGCAAAGAAATTGAAGAAACAATACATCACCTGACTGAAGAAGATCATACAGACTGACTACAAACAATGTCATGATGCATTGGAAGATTTGCAAGAACTATTGTTTGCTTGCAGAACCAGTGGGACCATAAAGTAGAGAAAATGAAGAAGCTAAAGTGCTCTGGGTCTTTAGAATTCAAACAGACAGGTACATGCCATGTAACATCCCAAACAATGCAATTGTCAATAAGAAAAACAAAAAAGTATGGATTGTGGATGTAGCAATACTTGGAGACAGCTGAATAGGAAAGAAGGAACTAGAGAAAAAGACAACAAAATACAAAGACCTGCAAATAGAAATAGAGCAACTGTGGCAAAAGAAGACAAAGATAGTATCAACAGTAATAGATGACTTGGATGCAATCTCCAAAAAACTGGACCACTTGAATACCATCAGTGTTGACAAAATCATCAGTTTTACTCAGAATAGCTTAAATCCTGCCACAATACCTTTAATATCATCAAACATCACTATCTACCCACAAATCCTTGGGAAGGACTTAATAGGTAGGTAAAAACGCCAAATCCAGTCTGAATATCTGGCTGCCTATGCTATGAATAATAATAAATACTTCTCTTTTTTGTTGCCTCTGCGTAATCAAGGAAGGCATGCCCAGAGCAGTTTCTATCCCAGCTAGTCATCTGATAATTAAAGAACTGGATTAGATTATTTATTCACAAAATATGTCAGAAAAGTAAAACAACAACAAAAACAACTAAAAATGGTACTGCAGGGTAACATTGTACTAAAGATGGAATATGCCAGTAGATAGCACATTTAAGAGTTATTGTATCATTTTTTGAATCATGGTTTTAGGGAGAGCAACAAGTTTAATGGATACAATGGTATATAGGGATGATCTTGGGAGAAGGATAAAACCTACAGTTTAGGCAACTGTCAGAGAATAGGCATCTCAGTGCACAGGAGGAAAAAAGCATGGGAACCATTTCAAAGTAAGGAAACAGAGAAGTGGTGGTGGGTGGCACAGTGTTGAGCCAGTTTGCCTTCTTTCTTCAGAGTTGATTCCAGTCAGTGATGATTGGAGAGGAAAGGTCCACCCTTGGCCCTTACTATGCTTTCTTCTCTCTTTTATATCTACATGAGAGCAATGGGTGAGTTCATCAGTCACTATAGGATGAGGTACCATCATTATATTGACAATGCCCAATTATATAACTTTATCTCTGGTGAATTAAGTGATGCCATGAACATCTTATTATAGTATCTGGAGGCTGTGTGAGTTTGGATGGAAAACAAAAGGTTCCAATTGAACACTGGCAAAACTGTAGTTTTTGAGTGCTACTGCTTCCAGGACTATGCCAGCTTTGTTATTGGATGGGGTTGCACTGCCCTGATGTGCAGTCTGGGGTCCCCCTAAACTTAAAACTGCTGATTGATGAACTGGTGGCAGTCATGATTGGCAGACCTTTGTACAGCTTTGTCTTATGCACCGGTTGCATCCTTTCCTTGATCTGCATGCTCCCCTTAAGTCACTCATGCCTAGTCGCCTCCAGATTGAATTACTATAATGCAGTCTACATGGGATTATTCTTGAAGACTATCCAGAAACTTCAGCTGGTACCAGGGTCGCCAAGAGGATTATTAAGTGCTGGAACAAGATTAATATGGACCTCCTCACCTACACACGGACACATAATCAATAGTGTCATTGTACATTTATTAATTACATTCAAGCATACTTGCAAATATATTAAAAAGAGGACAGGTACTTTTGTAAAAGATAATGAAAATAATAATACACATTAGTATATAAACAATAATGAAACAATTATTATTCAATGTTTCACATTGTTCTGAATTTAAAGTTTCATTTTGGTTAGTTTCACTTGTTTTGCATTTAATGCCAAATTGAAAAAGCGTTTGTTGCCCCTATTTATTAATCTCATAACGATTCTGTTTTTACTTGTGTTTTTGATTCCATATATTTGATATTTCATAACCATTCATGAACTGAAATGAAATATAAAAAATATATTCATAAACAAGATAAAACTAAACTTGCAAACTTAAATAAATAAGTAATGAAATTAAAATTCAATAAATTACATAAATAACTGTTCACTGAGTTTCAGATTAATAAAGGTTATGTCAATCAAGGTGGCAAGGCAGTTTTGCTATAAACACAAAGTATAGAATATGAAGTATATATCCAATATTATTTTTCTTTTTTAAAAAATAGTTTTGTAATTTTTTTTAAATGTTCCCCTTCATGGGCCTCCTTTGAGCTCCATGAACCCCAAAACAAGGTACCGGCTGCACCTCCCTCTCCTCAGCCTTGGCTGGTACATAATGTAGCAGCAGAGATAGTTATGTGCACTCCTAGAACAGTGCATGTTATATCTCTGCTCTATGAGCTGTATTGATTGCCAGCTTGCTTCCAGGTCTAATTTAAGGTCCTTTTCATCTTTAAAGCCCTTTATAACATGATACTAGGTTATCTGAGGAACCACCTCTCCCTGGTTACATCAGCCTTTCCTATTAGATCTGGGAGAAAAGGCATGCTGCAGGTACTATCAGCTAGCAACCTACCTCTGGTGGTCCCAGGAGACATGCCTTTTCCAGAGACCCTATCTTACAGAACATCCCCCCCTCCCCAAGTTTAGATTAGCTCCATCCCTTGTAACATTTTAGAAGTCCCTCAAGATGTGGTCATGTTACCAGGTCTGAAGTGCCAATGAACCAAAGACATGGGTGTATTATTTGTATGTATTTTTAAATTATTAAACATCAGCAAGTTTCCTTTTGTACAGGCAGTAACTTCTTTTTCCATTTCATTCTTACAGCAAGTCATTTATAAATCCACTTTCAACTTAGCCTCTATCTTATCAGATAAAACATGTTCCCCTTCTATAACATCTTTTACACATAGTCTATTCAAAGAGGCTGATATTGCTGTTGACATATTTAATATTAATTTTTGGATCCATTTTTCAAAAGTGTCCTACAATAATTCCAGTATTAGAATATTTTGTGCCTTACTGTACCCTTAGTCAAATTTGTATGTTGCTTTTCTTCAGTGGGAATATTTGGTTCCCCTTAGTGCAGGAGTGCATGGGCCGGATGCGTCACGTACAGGCTACGCCCATCCCAGCTCCAAGAAGGAAAAAATGTTGCAAAATGTTAAGTGACAGCAAAGTGGTGCCGCAAGTTTGACATCTGTGCTTTTTTTCCTAGTATTTTTCTTACAAGTTTAAGTCTACTTTTTTTTTTAATCAAACAAGTGATGATCTATTGGTTCTGACAGGAATTGAATGACCAGCTTGTTGCCTGAACATGACATTGTGGGCTGGAAAGACTGGCTTGTCCAATTTCCTAACCAAGTTTCATATTTAAGGCAAAATTAGAAATCATGGTCACCTGGTTTCTAACTTGGTATTTTACTGTAATTGCTAGACTAAACTGGCTGCTTTCAGTGTGAAATACAATACTTCCCATGAGAAAGATACCTTATAATTAATTTCAAAATCTTATTTCAAATTTATCCAGGTCCTTTAGATTTAGATCATTTATTTATTTTATTTATTAGACTTATATACCGCTTCATAGGGCTTTCAGCCCTCTCTAAGCGGTTTACAATTTTTTTTTAGCAAATTGAGTCAGCAACTTGCCCCCACAGTCCGGGTCCTCATTTTACCCACCTCGGAAGGATGGAAGGCTGAGTTGACCTTGAGCCGGTGAGATTTGAACCGCTGAACTGCAGATCACAGTCAGCTAAAGTGGCCTGCAGTACTGCACCCTAACCACTGTGCCACCTCGGCTCTTTAATACATTTGCAACTTTCTAAAGTTTTAATCACCTTTTAGTTGTTTATTTCAATATGTAAAATACATATATTTCTAAATTCTTAAATTTGTAGGAAATTCACTTGGTATTTTCAGAATTGTGGATCCAAAGCAATTTCCAAAAGTGATTAGAAAAGAAAGTATACAAATCCAGTGTCGTTTTAATGGCTTTATGGTTTGAAGAAGATGGCTATACTATTTCCTTATCTTCTAAGGCTCTAAACCCACCAGGGACTGCTGTCTTGCATTCACTTCATAAGGAACAACTATCTGGAACGCTTGTAGATGGCCTATTTGCAATCACTTTCTTCTTTACTATGGTTGTCATTTCTGCTCTTTGCACAGCTATCTTTAATGTACTATTTTTCAACAGGCTATTCTTATACCTCTTCAAGCTAGTGAGTATAAGGATTAAGCTAATCTTTTTATTTTTAACATTTTTGTAACTAAAAACGAGATCGAACAACCATCCTGAGACAAGACACACAACTGTTCTAATAACAAAAAATGCCATTAATTAAAATGAAAGGAAGCTTTCAAAACATCTAAACTAGTGTTGTTGAAATGAACATATATTTGGACCTCTTAATCCTAGAGAAGATCTACATATATCTCTGTCTGTCTGTCTGTCTGTCTGTCTGTCTGTCTATACATACATACATACATACATACATACATACATACATACATACATACATACATACATACATACAGTAACATCCAATGTTTTATTATTATTTCTGCATTATTCCCTAATGTTCTATTTTAAACAAGCTTTTTGGCTGAAAAATGTTCTTTTTATATAAATTTATATAAATATCTGTTCAATTATCCAACTTTATAATTTAAATACTTATAGGTCTTCTTGGCACTTTTGACATGGATGAAGGAATGACATATGAACAAATGCAGGTTAGACTTTGTTTCTGGTATAGTTGTAAGCAATTTTTAGGTCTTTTGACAAAATTATAATGAAACTTAGTATACTTCATTTTTTAGACTGTAATTGAAGAGGTTCTGGAGGAATGTGGATATTACAATTTTACCTCAAGCAGGTGAGTTTCATTTCAAAATGTTAAAGTGAGATGAGGTTATTGATTGAAAGTATTAATTATTTTTCTAATGACAGGTCATTAAGCTTAATAAAGTAAAAGTTTCCTTGTCAGTCATGTCCAACTCTAGGGCATAGTGTTTAGCTCTCTTTCTTGACTGAAGAAGTCAGCATAGTCCAAAGACAATTTCCATGTTATAGCCATGTTTCATGGCTATATGCTTAAGGCCCATAGATCACTGTTACCTTCCCACCAAAGTGGTACCTACTTGCATTTGCATGCTTTCAAATTGTTAGACGGGCAGGAACTGGTAACAGGAGTAACCCCATTGTGCAGAAATCAACTCTCGAATTTGGGCTGTTGGCTCTCCAGCTGACAGGCTCAGGATCTTTAACAATTGAGCCATTGTGGCCCCTTATTAAGGTTAATAGAATGAATCATTTAATTGAATACAGGTAAGTGGTAGATACAAGTGATATGTAAAATTTGTATTATAGTTCCACAAGAAAATAGCACAACAATCTCATTTCTTCTTTCTCTATAAGTTCCATTTTTGGGTTTAAAAAAAATAAAATGTCAAAAGACTTTTATCAGTAAAAAGTATTTTTAAACAAAAACAAAACTTTCTGAAAAATACATTAACTTAGTTGTAATATTTGAAAGAGTTTGCCCAAATAAAACTAGAATAAGAAAGCAAAAGGATATAAAATGAAAGTAGTTGGAAAAATCTGGTATGAACCTGTTATTTTGATTTCAGCAAGTCTTCTCCACCCATCCCTGATAACTACTGCAACTGCTGACTTCCCATTAAGATTAGCATATGCTAGAAGTTAATCAGAAAATCTTATTAATCAATTAAATCTTATTAATCATATTAAAATGAGTCGCAATGAATGATCAAACTCTAGATACAGAATTAATGCCACTGGTCCAATGACCCTGAAATTGTGAATTCTGCCTGGCAGAAGCTCTCAAAGATCAAAATTTGAGATGTCAGCCAAAATTAACTTTAATTGCAGGTGCTATGCATGAGACAATCTGCTTGGACTTGATATACTTTATAATTAGCTATCTTTTCTCCCCAATCAATGAAACTAAAATATAAAGAACAGAATCTTTAGTAATCTAATTGTCATTTTACATAGTAAAACTAAATGTCTTGCTTTATTTTACATATATCAGATAGCTTATGACTCACACTTCTGGGATAGAAAAAGCAACTTTAGATGTCTAATTCTTAAGATTTTGCTTAAAAAATGTTGCTGCATACTGAACTGTGTAACCCAAACAGATGTTGAATGCCTTGCAAAACCACTCTGTCCATGATTTCTACTAATTTTCAGGAAGCTGGACAGTGTTGTTATATCTCAGATGACAAGATCATAGCCTTACCTATATGCCTATGTTGATGCACTCTTGTATATTCCAGTTTGGTAGCAGAGATTTAATCTAACTCAAGATGAAAATGCTATTAATTTTTTTATTCCATTAAACAAATAATTAAAACTCTTAAATCTTTTTAGGTATCAATACTATCCATGGGGAGCAAGAAATCATCCAGCCAGAAGATAAGCACTTGGAATTTTGTCTACATTGGCGGATTTTCTACTAAGGTCTAAATGTCTCGACTTTAGCTTTGATTTTCCTACTACTAAAGGGAAACACTGTGTAAAACACAAGACAAAAGGAGGCACCCAGGAAATAGAAATCATTCAGATTTTCTATGTAGCTTACAAAGAATCATCAAGCAGTAGAACTCTAATATATATCTCTGTCAGTAGGTCTATGCAGTATAGTTTTGGTGTCAAGATATAGTTCATGCAAAATGTAAACATTCTTCCAAGTAGTTCGACTAAGATGACAATGTACAGTTCTTCAGCCCCTTCTTGATTTTTGGAATGGCCTGATGAATACTCAGGTTTATTAGAAATCCTAGTTTTTACAGATTTCTTAATATCAGAGTGTCTATTTTTTTTTATAATAGAATATATTTTTAGATAGAGAGCAATTCAGAATGTCTAAGGAAACGGGACAAAGTCTAGCTATATTAGAATCAAAAATAGCTTGGGAATCAGAAATGAACATTCCAAGTACTGCTTTAATTACTTGAAATAGTTGGTATTTATGCTGCAAATATGATATAGACAGTATTTACAACTTTCACAATTTCTAACATTTGTTAAATCCAAAGATTAGAGCATGGAACATGCTTAGGTTCTATAAATATGTACTATACATATTTATATTAAATAAATACTCTAATTATTATTGATAATTAGATATGTAGCAAACATTGCACTTTTGAAAAACTGAAAGTCTTTCTGGAAAATGTTTGTAAAATAGTAATGCACATATTATTATTATCTGGACATTTCTTTACCTTTGGCATATTTTCAGCTTTACTAAATCTTTTCAATTTAGTCTATGGTTATCTACAGTGATGTTGTAAATTTTATAGATTGGATGTAATATTTCCAAATTCCATTGACTTTTTAAAATGAGAATATGTTTGAAAATTTTAATATAGGCTTTAATCTTTGGACATGTAAGGTGAAGGGAAACATTTAATATTGTGTTAGGGGAATAATAAAGAAAAGGAAATCAATTCTATCAACTATATCTGTTGGTAGTCACACTGTTGTTTACATAAAATGTAATGTATATGTACGTTAACAATATTTTTGAAGTTACACGCTTACAGTAATTTAAATTGCTACGGAGCATATTACTTAATTATGCATAACATATTTCATGGAGGGAGACATGGAGGGAGACCTAGGAAAAAGTATGTTCAGATTTGCCTATTCTAACATATCTTAATCTTCTATAAATGATAAAATGAATTTGAGATAAACCAAAAAGAACATTTGAAATCAAAATAAGAAAACTTCAACAAAATATCACAAAACAAAAATACCATCTAGCATTGCCATTTGTCACTTTCAAATTGCAGTAATATTTCACACATATTTCTACATTTGTGTGCTAAAATTGATAATGAAGATGCACATACTGAAATTTTCAGTAGGACTGCATACTCAGAGATTGGCTAGGTTCCTATATGTATGTACAATATGTTTTAGAGGTTTCCTGCATTTTGCTTGTTCACCACAATAAAATCAATAGAACCAAGCAGCTGCATGGTTCATGGTGGCAAATATTTTTATACAACAATTTTATTCAAGAAATTTCATGTGAAAACTATATTAGTTCTGATGGATATTGATAGACAACAAATTTCATAGAAAAAAATAGTAAATAATATAGTGACAATTGCAAAGGGTGTGTGCATGTCAAGATGTCAGCCACGGAATCATGATGAAAACCCCACCCCACTTTCTTCATGTATCAGATATTGGCACACATACAAAAGAGGTAGATTTCAATCACAAAGCCACAACCACAGTCTGTCTTAATGCTGCCTACAAACACCACTGAATTGAACAGTCAAAAATTAAAAACAGGCCAAATTCTGCTCAGACTTCATTGCCTTAAAAGTGATTCTTAATAATTAAGGAATTGATAGCTCTGAGTCATGTCAAATGCTTTTTAATGCTAAAATTGATAGAAACTGTTTGAATCCAAAGTGTCTGTCCCTCACAGTTTTTTATACATAGATTCTGTCCTGTACCAAATTAAGCCAGTGCAGATTTATATGTGGCTCTTCAAATTACAGACCACAGAAGGGACAGCTTTTCAGGTGTAAAAGGCATACTATAAATTTCAAGGAAACTCTGTTTCCTATCACTGCTGATATCGCAGTGTAGTTAAGTCTTTGTAGTTGTATAAATTTCCTTCCATTTTTTTAATGCTCTTAGGATAAACCAAGTGCTTGTATAATGATAATGATACTGAATCCGATAGTACCATTTGTAATGGCCTTTGAAATAGGAACCATATGAGAATATGATTACACATTTTGAAATTTCAAATAATAAAGCATGTTAATTACTTTTTAAAAACTGTAATTATACAGGTAACCTTCAAAACTCAGCATTTATCATCTTAGGAATAAAAGTAAAAGTATGGCATCTTTTTAATTTAGAATATCAGACTACCAAAATCATTGGAAATTCACACATTTGCATTCACTTTTAATGTGACTTTATTTTAAAATATCATCGAATGAAAACAGAACATTCTATCTAGAACAATCATTCCAGACACTGAAATTGAGACAGGTTCTAATTATTTTTGTCTATATTTTCTTATAACAATTATGTTTTCAAGAGCCAGCAGGAAAAAATCAAAAAATGATTTTGTTTAATGAAATTGAACTGCTATACAGTTTTTAATTTAGTATAGTTACACCAACAAGAATGACTTTTTTCTACAATTAATATGTTGCACAAGTTGATACTTGAAAATATTTATTGATAAAATAAATATAATATTGAGAATTATTATTTTGATAGTTCTTACTTATTGCAATTATTCTTTAAATGTAAACTTCATTTTGCTTGGCTTTTAGATTGAAGAAATAAAATTAATGGTGTTTGATAGGTGAGGTGGGAATGAAAATAAGAATGGTGGCAAGAGCCACACAATTAAAGACCCACACCTTTTTAGCTGTAACGTAGGATGACATAGATAAAAGGATGTTTATGTAGGATAACCTACATAAAAATACAGCTACATGAATCTGACATATATTACACTAATATATATATAAATTTCCTATTTTATATTTTTTCTATTGTTTAAAAGAAATACAGCAAGAGTTCAGCAAGAGTTAGATATCTTTTACAATTAATTTTAACAACCATAGACAAAAAGACTTTTACATCTTGTTATCTTTTGATTTGAAGTGATAAGATCATATATTTGGAACTAGATGCCAAACGTAGACACTGTGTAGAAGAATTCATTCATCCTAATGCAGATGATTTGTTACCTGGCTTAATTGTGGGAACAGCAGCAAATGTGAAAGACAGCAACTTTTACATAGTTTGTACTGTACTTATTGAATCCAGCATAGGGAAGGATATTCTTGCTGGTGTTCGAAGAGCAGCAATAAGTGTCTGACAGCCACAACCAGAAGATAATACAGAGTGGTAGGCTGATCATACACTGGGATTTTCCTTTTGTTTTACCCATAATTGTTTGGATAGGAAGAGGGGATAAATCTATTTTAAAGTTTATGGAAACATTGACCATATGTTTCCTAACTGAAAATAGTAGGAAATCATGTTGATCATTTTTACCAGTTGTGCTCACAATCATTGGTCTTGTCAGAAAAGGTTATAGATATTTAAAAAAAGAGGGCTAGGGCTGCTTGTAGCCTAATGCCATCATTTATTTTTCACTGTTTTACAGTGATTTCTTCAGCTTGAGCATGGTAGCAAGCTAGAAGTATCCTGGTAAGATGGATATCCATGCAATCCATGCCTTTTATTTAGGATTATGGAAGTAAATGAAAGTTCACTCTGTATCATTTCTTATTTGTGACCCATACTATTTCTTTTTATCCCATTTCTAAGAAAATAAATCTCAGACTGATCTGTTCCAATTTTTTTCGCAATTTAATATCTTCTGTAATGCATGTTTTATAACTATTGCCCATTGTATACTTTGTGTAATATACAAGTTATTTAAACTTTCCTAAATTTATTGGAACACCTTTCTGAAATATATATGTAAAACATGTCAGATTTTATAAATATTTCTACCAAGAATATAGAATAGCAGTTGACCCTGCATTACAATAATATGTATTATAACCAAGTTTGCTGACAGGAAATGTGGTACTTCAGAATAATAAAAAGTAGTAGCAAACTGTAGATATCTAGACAAATACACATGAAAAGCATGCAGTAAGAACTGAGTGCCTGCTATACAAAAGTAGAGAAGCAGCAATGTAACATTTTCCATAATAATCTTACTTTATAGTAAATGCTTCTAATCCAGTAATAGATATTATATAATATGTACTATGTAATATATATTCTATAAAGTATTTTCCATTTGACTTAAAATAGACATGATAAATATTTATACTAAATATATTTCTAAGTTATTTTTAAGATACTAATTACTTTGTTATTTGATCTTCAAGCATTAAGATTTAACGTACAGTTTTAGTTCTGATTCTAAAGAGTCTTAACTTTTCAAGAAAGACTTATTTTAAAGAGATGTCATGAAAAATATCAACGATTGAATGGATAATTAATTTGATTAGATTCAAGAACTAATTAATGAAACCAGCAAGTAATTGACAAATTCTTGCTTTACTGAGTGACAGATTGTATTTTTTATCCACTGACATACTGAGAACAAGCTTTATTGGCATTTCTTTTTAAAAAAATATCTGAGCACAATATCTGCTACAGTTTGATAAATTTGTATACAGGTAGTCATTGACTTATGACAATTGAGCCCAAAATTTCTGTAGCTAACAAAGGCATTTGTTATGTGAGTTGTACCCCATTTTACAACTTGTTTTGCCACAGTTGTTAAGAAAATCACTGCAGTTATTAAGCAAATCATGTGATTGTTAAGCGACTCTGGCTTCCCTCTTGGAAATCAATTGGGAAGTTTACAAATTGTGATCAGACAACCTCAGGATAGCTAATCTGTCATAAATATCAGTTGCCAAGTCAATTGCTTGAATTTTGATGTACGATCATGCAGATTCTGTAACAGTTATAAGTACGAAAATTCACTTTTTTCAGGGCCATTTTAGCTTCAATCACTAAATAAATGGTTGTAAGCAGATGTCTACTTGTACAAAATATACATAATATATCCCTATCACAAAGAAAGTTTGCACATTTGTTAAAATTTCTGGTTTACAACTAGCTGTGGTCAAAATTATTTAATGAGAATTTTACTTTGAAAGCATTTTGTTGTATACATCAAAAGACTATAAACTATCAAAACTGAGGTTTACAGAACTTAACAATTTATTTTTCTTCAAACTAAACAGAAAGAAGCTACTAAAATCAACTATTTCTTTGTTTAGCAGATTTATATACCCAGCCATCTCATGAAACAGGACTCTCAGCATAATGACAATACAAATACTCAAACATAAATAAAATAGATAATATAAAACTCCAAGATTATGGAAGAGCAACAGTCCCTTTACTTTTTACAGCCTGCTTGCAGGCTTACTATGATAGAAAAAAAATGTTTTGAGAGCCTTCCAGAAGGCAAGCAGGACTGCATGATCCTAGCAGCACACATCTGAACCTTGCAGATAAATTTCAGGACAGCCCAAATAGAGTACAATATATAGGAAGTGTCTAAGACATGAATAAGTGCGGTTCAGTAGGGAGGGCAACTGAGAAGGAGTCATGAGTCTAGAAGGACCCCCAAATTTCACACTGGGGCTGTCTGGGGAAGTGCCACTTCATCCAATATAAATAATGGTAGGGTCTCAAATCCAGAAGAGCCTATGAATCCAGAGTTACTCAATCTTGTTGTAGATGGGCCTGGGCCTATACTGGGCCTCCAATAGCCTCTCTCACTCAGGAGGAGGCACCCCATGCTCCACTTAATTATGTGCATATACATTTAATGTTTCATTGGGAAGAGCAGGAATGGGGGGAGGGTCATTAGGTGATATGTTTTACCTAACAACTGCTGCAACATTCATCCCTCATTGACTTCCAACAGCA